GCCAGCGACATCTCCTCGTAGAACACCACGTCCGACGTGGTGACCACTCAGTCAGTGGCGACGTCAAGGAGCTCCCAGCCCTTGCTCGTCGCCGACACGCCAAGGTGCAGGCCCCACCTGGCCTTCGGCTTCAGCTTCCCACCACACTGTTGCTCAGGGACAAGGAACTGCGCCATGCAGCCCCACACCCGTGCCAGCGACAAGTCGGGCTTCTTCCCGGTCAGCAGCTGGTACGGCGTCGTCCCCGGCGGCAGCGTCGACCTCTCAAGGCAGTTGCGGACCCAGACGGCCTGCCGCAGAGCGAGGTGCCACCTGTGGTGCTGCACACCCATGTGCAGCAGCATTGTCCGCACCGACTCCACCACCGTCCTCATCTCCCGCTCCGCCATGCCGTTCTGCTGCGGGGTGTATGGGCAGGTCAGGTCGTGGACGATCCCCTTGCCGTTCACGAAGTCGGTGAACTGCTTCCCGAGGAACTCCCCTCCCCGGTCAGATCGCAGCATCAACACCAGCTTCTTCGTCTGCCGCTCAGCCACAGCCAGCCACTGCACGAAGGCCTGCAACGCATCTGACTTCTTGGCGACCGGCTTCACCCACACGTAGCGGGTCTTGCGGTCCTTCAGCAGCAAGAAGTACATGCTGCCGTCCTTGGCAGTCACGCGGAACGGCCCGCACAGATCGATGTGCACGACGGTCAGCACGTCGTCGGCATCGGAGCCTTGGTCGGGGAAGGTGTGCCGCGCCAGTTTCCCCCCGACGCACGAGACACACGGGGAGTCGGCGTCCGTCGCCGACTTGAGGTCCAGCCCAATGGCGACCTCATTCTTCGCCGAGCTCCGTATGGTATCCATGCCGACATGCGCAAGCCTCGCATGCATTCGGTCCGGCGTCGACTTCGTCTTCGAGACGATCGCCCGCAGAGCCACGACCTCCGTCGTGGGCGGCGTCGACCTCGTCGCGCAGGGACGCAGGTCGGTGCAGAGGACTCGCCCAGAGTACGTCGCCCGCCCGAGCACCTCCCCCCCTGCTGAGACGAGCAGCATGTCGTCTCCGTCCTCCTGTAGCTTCACGCCGTGCTCCTTCAGTTGGCCAGCCGACAGCAGGTTGGCCCGCACACCCGGGACGTACAGCACGTCGGGGATGAGCACCTCCTTCCCGGCCTCTCTTTTCAGGGAGACGGTGCCACGGCCCTGAACGTCCTGCAGTGCCCCATCGAAGCCGCGCACGTGCTTGATGGAGCCACTCGGCTGCAGGTCGACGAAGGCTTCCTTCGTTCCCATCAGGTGGTGGGAGCAACCGCTGTCGAGCAGGACCACCGCCGGGTTCGCCTGCACAGGTGCCGCCACCGCCTGGAAGTCCTCTCCGGCCTCCGGCGCCAAAGAGATGGTCGGCTCCACGACGCCGACCAGCGAGCACGACGCCATCTTGTCGTCTCGCCCCTTGCCGCCTGCAACGGAGTCGGGGTCCTTCGCCGAAGTCGATGCCTTGGTCGACTGTTTCTCCTTGCGCGGATGATTTCCTCCACGACGAGGACGACGGCTGCCAGACCTCCCGCGGCCGCCCTTGTCGTCGTCGTCGGAGTCAGTGCGGTCGGGACACTCGAAGGAGAGGTGATCGGGGTTGTGGCAGATCCATCACTCCCGACGTCGACCTCCTCCTCCTCGACCGCCGTCCTTGGTCGACTTCTTCTCGACCTCCTTGGTCGACTTCCAGCCACCGCTCCCGCCGCCACCAGATTGTCCGCGCTGTCCTGGTCGGCCTCCTTGCTTTGCCGGGGCGACCAAGTTGGCCTGCGCGAAGAGCTCATGTGATCGCTCAGCCTCCTGCATCGCCTCGTCCTGCAGGATGTACGAGGTCAGGTTGTCCTCGTTGAGCGTCGCCCTCGTGCTCGGCGCCATAGACAGCCGCTTCAGGAGGTTATAGCTGCTAGACAGTCCCTGCGTGATATGGGTGATGTACGACGCCGTGGAGTACTGCGCGCCGGCCATCCTGATGGTGGCGAGAATTCGCCTGGCTCGGTTGCAGTAGTCGGTCGCACTCTCCTCGTTGCCCATACGCAGGTGTGTCAGCTGTCTCTCCACCTGGGCGATGAACAGGTCGTCGGTGACCTGGTACGTCGACTCAATGAAGTGCATCCCTCACGCCTGAACGCCGCGGACTTCACCGGCGTGTATCACACCTCGTTGCCTCGACGTGCCTCCAGCACTGCTGCCGACTTGACCACTACCGGCGTTGACGCCCACGTCGACGCCGCCTTCGTTGTTCACCGGACGAGGAGAGGCAGGTCGAGACGGGTGCTCCGTCGCCCACATGGAGCGGAGTCCAGCCTCGACGACCGGCCAGGGCAAGTCGCCATACTCGTTGGCCTCGTGCTTCCTCCTCGCGTTCTCCAACCGTGCCTCTAGGGTGTCCACCACCCCTGTGTCACCTACAGCTCCTACCATAGTGACTACCGCACAGTTGCCGGCCTGCAACTACGAAATAGGTAAGTGGTGTCTACGTCGACCTGACTGAAAGGTAAGTCGTGTGCCGTCCACGCTCACCGCACCATGCGGAGATAACTACTACAATGGGAGCTAGACTGCAGGCTAGGCACGTGTGCTCGTGTGATATCTGCGTTCTCTGTTCCTTAGTCGTTTTCCTTGTGCGCACACTACATGCTAGTTCACGGGGAAAGTTTTTGAACAATTGCTACAATGAAGTTGGCATAGCAAGACTACATCAGAGCAAGCATTTAGGTCGGCCAACTGCCAGCGCAGCTTGGTCGACCGTGTTCCAGCACGACTTGGTCGACCGCGCTCCAGCAAGGCAAGGACGACGGCGTGCCAACGTCGCAGGTTGATGGCGCGACAGCGTTGCTCACGCGAGGACAGCACTGCACCCTGCTTCGCAGTTGCACGCAGATGATTGGCGTGCAGAGTCTCGTCACCTGCACAGCGCACACACCACGTCAACCTCGAGCTGACAACTGCCTCTGATCCGCCACGACGACCTCGAGATACCACCACCGAGGTCGGGCTCGCCAACTTCGCCTGGGCGACCGTCGCACTCCTTCGCAGCACTTCGTCACCCAGGTAACCTGGTCGACCAGGCAACCACGTCGACCAGCAGCTCCCGTACGTGCCCGTCGACCTCCCAAGTCGACGACCACCTCCACGTCGACCTCACCAGGTCGATGACACCATCGGTCGACCTCCTCGAGGTTGACGTCCCCTCCGGTCGACCAGCTCTACGTCGACCAGCTCCACGTCGACCAGCACAGTCTTCGGCCGACCACCCACGTCGGCCACCCGAAGCTGGCGTCACCAAGTTGACGCCCCGCTACTCGACGCCCAACTGCTCGGCGTCCTGAGTGGAGGTCGACGTCGGCCCCTCCTTCGTCGACCACCAGGTCCAGTCGACCGCTAACAGGTCGACCAGCAGTTCGTTAGCCGACCGTCGAAGTCGGCTTCCCCAAGTTGACGTCACCAAGTTGACGTCCTCCGCAAGTTGACTCCCAAGTCGACCTCTCTGAAGTCGGCGCCCGTGTAGTGGTCCCCGGTGCAGGTCGACCTACTCGTCGACCAGCTCACCCACTGCTGCGGGTCGGCTGCTCCCCTCAAACCCGACCACAAAGTCAGCTCCGCCCAAGCGAGGACGGGGCCAATACCCAACTCCCGTTGACATAGTCATGATGTCGAATGTGTGTGTCGAGTCAATAGCGAGTTATCACTAGTCGCGTGTCACGCGGTCGTTTGTGTCCTGTGCACGGTTACCATTTCGTCGTGTGTCTCTTGCGCGGTTTCTATTTTGTTATGTGTAGAACGTTCGGTGTGTCGCAGGTGTGTGGAGGAAACACCCAAGAACTCAAGGATAAGATTATGGTGAAGAACCACAGCCTTGTTTTAAGACTCAAGTGATTTCGAAGCTCGCCAAAAGGAGTAAACTTCAAGATATTGAGAATAGTTACATTACTATGTGTAGTGTAACATTTCTCTTGTGGAGGGCAGTTTTAAGACTCTTCTTGGTTGGGGACAGTGTGGCACTGTTCCACATCACTGTACCTCAGCTCTCGGGGTTTGTAGAGGCTGGGAGTCATTCCCAACTCGTAACTCTTCATAATTTGTGTTTTAGGATTATAGTGGCTGCCATAGTGCCGTTCGTTCAAACTGACGTTGTGTCGCCAATACTTGATGAAATTGTGCGATCTTAATTGCTTATTGTAAGCGACATTTAGACGCTCCAGATCCAATTTCAATCAGGTCATTTGAAGCTGTGACCCGAACGCTATAAACGTTTAAAGCTGCTGTGCAGAAATCCGACTGTGCACTCCATCTTTCGTTTTAGGCACATTTGAGCCTATTGTGACTATAACACTTGAGTAGGCGTGAGCAAAGGGCGAACTCCAACATGTTCGCGTTTGTCCTTGCACGAACATGGCCGTTCGGCAAACCGGACAGTGTTCGGCGTTCGCCTGTGAAGGCGTGTTCGGGCGAACCTCGAACAAGTTCGTGTTCGAGACGGGGCGTTCTGTAGCAGCGCCATGAGCACAAACGTGTTCGGGCGAACCTCGAACAGTGTTCGGCAAACAATTTAAGCAAAAAATAAAAACCTGTTCGGTTCGCCACGTATTCGTTTCTTTGCTCACCCCTACACTTGAGATCCACCCTGAGCTTTGTTTTGTTTCTTCTCTAGACTGGTCTTATGACCACTCACTTCTTGATCATTGTGATGCCCCTCATTTATGCTATGGGGGTGTGTCAAAGTTTTATTCGTACCGTCATCGCCCGGATAGTAGACAGTGTTGAATAGTAGACAGGGGTTTTCTATTATCTGGGTGTCTCTTATATACAGGCTAGCCTCATTATAAGACACCTATTGATGTGTACGAGATAAGACATATATGTCTTATAATCATAACAGAGGTTTAGGGGTTTTCTTATAATCAGGGGGTGTCATCTAAACGGTAATTAGTTACGTTAGGGGGGTACATGCATACATCTATGAATCTCTACTTTTACCTAGCCCTCCTCTATCACAGCCTCCTCACCTGCACTAACAGCAAGCTCCCTAACACCCAAGTCTGGCACTCGCCTAGGATGCCTAGCTGTCTCTCTAGGCTCGATCATGCGGTCAGCCTCAGCCGCCGCTCCGTGGTAGTTGGGGGTCTCTTGGTACAGCACATCAAGGCCGGTTGCCACAGCCACCTCCCTCATATCCTCCGCCTGCATCTCCTCCTCCTCCTCCTCCTCCTCCTCCTCCTCCTCCTCCTCCTCCTCCTCCTCTGGAGCCTGCCCAAGTAGGCGCGTGTTGTCGCTCGTGGTTCCCCCGAGGCACATGTCCTCGGAGACATCGGTGGTGCTCCTGGCGTGCAGGTGAGACATCACCAGGTGGTTCTCCGTCCCGTCCAGCTTACTTAAAATCCCACAGTGGCGGAACGCGTCAATGATGACCTTCTTAGGGACTTGATCCCATGCCTCCACAATCCACTATAGCACCACGGGTGCGGAGGCATCCGCAGATTCCCTGCGGGTGGGACAAAGGCAGAGGTAGCGAGCTGTTAGAGACATGGAAAGAAAACAGTGCACAAGTTTCATTCAAAAGGCTACTCACCCTTCTTTGTCTTCAGGTGAATCTCTTCACGCATGAACCGTCTGGCATAGCGCGCTCGCGCAGCAGCCTTGAAACACCGGTTGATGGAGACGTCAAGGGGTTGAATCTGGCTCGTGCAACCCACTAGGATCACTATAGGGGTGATGCTGTGTGTGCGGTAAGCTTGAAGCATGGTCTGGGTGATGTGGCCGCGGTAGGAGTCCAACACCAGCATCGCACGCCTTGCGTTCTGGCCATGTTGGAAGTTCAGATGGGGCAGCACCTCCTTGGTCAGCCAGGTCTGCACAACGCTCTCGTCCATCCACCCGTTGTCCTGTGCTTGGCATACAATTCTGCGGAGATAACTGCAGCAACGGGAGCTAGGCTACGGGCTGGGCACGTGTGCTCGTGTGATCTCTGCGTTCGTTAGTCCTTAGTCGTTTTCCTTGTGCACACACTACTTGCTAGTCCACGGGGAAAATTGGCAAGAGTTTCACTAGGAAAAAGTTCAGAACAAAAAGGTACAATGAAGTTGGCAATGCAAGACTACATCAGAGCAAGCATTCAGGTCGGCCAACTGCCAGCGCAGCTTGGCCGACCGCATTCCAGCATGACTTCGTCGACCGCGCTCCAGCAAGGCAAGGTCGACGGCGTGCCAACGTCGCAGGTTGACGGCGTGACAGCGTTGCTCACGCAGGACAGCAGTGCACCCTGCTTCGCAGTTGTGCGCAGATGATTGGCGCGCAGAGTCTTGTCACCTGCACAGCGCACACACCACGTCAACCTCGAGCTGACGACTGCCTCTGATCCGCCATGACGACCTCGGGATACCACCACCGAGGTCGGGCTCGCCAACTTCGCCTGGGCGACCGTCGCACTCCTCCGCAGCACTTCGTCACCCAGGTAACCTGGTCGACCAGGCAACCACGTCGACCAGCAGCTCCCGTACGTGCCCGTCGACCTCCCAAGTCGACGACCACCTCCACGTCGACCTCACCAGGTCGACGACACCATCGGTCGACCTCCTCCAGGTCGACATCCCCTCTGGTCAACCAGCTCCACGTCGACCAGCACTCCTGGTAGACCTGCTCCTCGTCGACCAGCACAGTCGTCGGCCGACCACCCACGTCGGCCACCCAAAGCTGGCGTCACGAAGTTGACGCCTCGCTACTCGACGCCCAACTGCTCGGCGTCCTGAGTCGAGGTCGACGTCGGCCCCTCCTTCATCGACCACCAGGTCCAGTCGACCACTAACAGGTCGACTAGCAGTCCGTTGGCCGACTGCCGAAGTCGGCTTCCCCAAGTTGACGTCACCAAGTTGACGTCCTCGGCAGGTCGACACCCAAGTCGACCTCCCTGAAGTCGGCGCCACCCTGAAGTCGGCGCTCGTGCAGTGGTCCCCCGTACAGGTCGACCTCCTCGTCGACTAGCTCACCCACTGCTGAAGGCCGGCTGCTCCCCTCACAACCGACCACGAAGTCGGCTCCGCCCAAGCGAGGACGGGGCCAATACCCAACTCCCGTTGACAGATTCCTGCCAGGCACATAGGGGATAGACGCGCGTCAGTCAAGGAGGGCAAGCTCATTAGGCTTACGGCTCCCGAATTCCTTGAGCTTACCTTCCAAAATCTCACAGCTGGGCACGTTCTTTAGCTTGAACTAAACCCAAGGGGGCAGCTTCTCCTTATATGCGGTGCACGCGAGCATTACCGTGAGCTGCATCTTCTCGCATCCTGTAGTGCGGATTGGGACCAAGCGCGCGCCACGGTGCTCAATCGTCCTCTCGGCCGGCATCTCAATGAAGAGTGGCGTCTGGTCAGCGTTGATGATGCGGGCTAGGTCGATGTTGTGCCACGCCCTGTTGATGCACACGAACTTCAAGAAAGACTCACAGTCCTTAGTGCACTCTGCAAAGGGAACACACACCACGGCAAGAGGGGATGATTAGAAGCAAAGGGCAAGGAACATGCAGTCAAGCATCGAGCGCAAATTCAAGGCCTTGAACACTCACCATCCGATAACCATTGGCCGACCTTGGTCTTCACACGCATGACCAGGTTCCAGCGGTCATGGAAATGCTAGCTCTAGTGAGAGCTTGCGTTCCAGTTCTTGCTGGGGTGGTGTTTCTTCATCCACTCGCGGCTCAACTTCTGGGTGTCTTTCACCGAGATCGCCACCCCATTAGCGCGCTGCAGGCAGACGTAGAGGCACAATGCCGCCTCCATGTCAGGGCAGTGTGCGTGGCGACCCCCCCCCCCCCCCCCCCCCCCCCACCCCCCCGTGCTTCCGCTTGTAGCAGTTCGCCGCTACTTTGTAGACGCCCGTAGCAGCCTCCGCACGCTAGCGTCTGATGCAGGCAATAGATGCGGTAGATTCCAAGGATGTCTTCTTCAAGGTGCCGAGCTCCTGGCAGCGGCGCGCCCATTTGAGCTTCCAGCGTACGGTCCATCCGCGTCGCCTTTTCTTACTGTCATTGCTACGAGGGGAAGGTGGACGGGAGTTGGGATTATGCAGGGTAGGGTCTTTTGGCTTGGCCTTCTCAAGGGAAAGGAAGAATTGGGCCTGCTGCCTTCGCGTAGTCATCGTCGCTGCCGAGCGCCTCGTTGACCATGATTTCGTCCTTGTTTGGCTTTTTCTTCATCTTCGTCTTAGCAGCACCCGTGCTGGATCCGGGGCTGCCGTCACTCTTTCGCTTCTTCCTCTTGTGCGGCAACGAACGGTGGCCTTAGCAGGGGCTTCTGCGACCTTGGTTTTCCCCTTGTCTAGAGCAGTGATGCGCGATTGACGCTCCTCCCCCGGACTGTCGTCATCAGAGAGCACCACGCGGGCACACTTTGGCTTGGACTATAGGCGATGACGCAGCCTCCGCCAGTAGCGGAACATCGTCATCACCCGTGATGCTCCACAGGTTCATTGGAGTTTTCACCGTCAAAGAAGACAGCATCAACACCTCCCTCCGCAGCATCCGCATTCGCATCCGCAATTGCGGCCACATCCGCGGGCGCAACAGCATTGGCATCCGCTTCCGCCTTCTCTTCCGTCCTCGCTTCCGCATGCGCCTTGTCGTCAGCCTCCGCATTCGCATCCACCATCGCTCCCGTTGCATGCGCCGCTGCCTCTGCGTGCTCACCATCAGCATCGGCACCCTCGTCGTTGTCCGAATCACCAGCCCGCCACTCTTCCACTTCGTCGTCACTCCCAACTGGCCGATTCCACCATTTGTCCTCGTCAATGTTGGCAGGAGCTATTTCATCCCCCAAAGCGCCGTCGTCGTGACCGTTCTCCGGCCAATCCTCCTCGCCGTCGCTGCCGTGTTCTTCGTCACTTTCATCGCCGTCGTCCCCGTCACAGCTCGCACTGGAGGCGACGGTAGATCTTCCCGCTTGCGCGTATTCTTTGCCATAGCTACACGGATGTCATCACCGGGCGAGTTAATTTGCCCGTAGTTATTCACCTGCACGTGAGGGCGAGGTGAGGACGTACCTGTGGGGACTTTGCTGCGCATGGTTCTGGTAAGCCTGCGGAGAGCAAAGGTTGAGTTCAGATCTCAACCTCCTTAAACACCAAATGAAGCTTAAGCCCGACTACCCCCCCCCCCCCCCCCCCCCCCCCAGCCAGAGTGCCCCTTCCAAAGGTGCCGAGCCTCCTCTATGAGGAATCTCCTCGTAGAGGACAGCCTTCATGCTGCCATCGTGCTGCCAACAGCGTTCCGAAAGCATCCATGCGCGGCTGGCAGCATCATTAGATGATGCCAGCACGGAAGGATATTGCCAGCAGTGGCAGCTTTGCTGCATCCCTTACGTGGCAAGTAGAGGCGCTGCATGCATCACCATCGAGGTCGTCCTATTTCAAAGATGTAATGGTATGGTACCTGGGTGGTTTCCACACACTTTGCAAATGTTATAGAGTTCTTATATTTCTTTCCATTTATAAGATTTATAAGACACCCTAAACCATCCCATATACAAGATAACCCAAGCATTTTGAGTAGTGTACGAGATAAGACATACATGCCTGCTATCTGGGCGATGACGGTAGTTGTTAGTTTTTTAGTTAGCCTTCAGTGAGGTGCATGTTAGGGGATACACATTTTCTCTTGACTCTATGCTTGTATCCCTCCCCTTTCACCTACCGCGTCTTCCTCCCAATGCAGCGTCTCTAACAATGTCACGACCTCCCTAACATTGGTTGATGTGTGGTAAGCTGATTCTGTGTTTATACAGTTGTTTGAGAGCAATTTGTTTATTTGAGTGTTTCCCCCAAATAAGACTAATACCGTAAGACACCTTTCTCCCCCCTTTATCAGATGAACCACCATTATCTTAGCAGTATCCCGTTATTCGGGTGATGACGGTAACTTTGTTCACACACTAATCAAGCTAGGATACCACACAAGAATGCAACAAATATCCCTAAAACACAGTGCCCATGATAAGAAACGAAGATTGAATGCATTGAGCAGAATGAGGAGTACAAGTAGTAAACCCTAAAGTGTTGTACCCCATATGAACTGCCCCACTACAGCCTACACAGACTATAGCATATATGCCTAACAGCCCAAGTTTGAGGGAGGGAAGGAGAGCGGGAGGGAGTTGGGAAAGGAGGGGAGAATAGTACAAACTTGGCGAAATAAAACCCGTATCACAGACCTCGGTGGTCTTCTGTTGCAGGGGGTCTGGAATTTGGGAGATTACGGAACTTAAGGCCTCACCCACCCAATGCTAAAAGAGTCAATATGGCACACAAATAGATTTAACCCCTACGGTCTCGGAGCATGCCTTCCCATTGTATTCAGTAAATTTTGCAGCTGGTCCAGCTTTAGCTCCACCGAAGAAGCTCAAAGCACCTTGGCATGTGAGCAGTGGTGAGACCACCTTGAGCCTGCCCACCTTGCAGGTGTTAGTATTGATGGACTCGTACTCGGCCTTGAGACAAACCTGGATACAAGGTGGATACAGTGCAATCGAAACAATTGGAATTTAGAATGCAAGGACTAGAAGAACACATAGAACTGAAAACCTACCATATTATCTGACATTGACCTTCCACCCCTCACCTGAGTGCTGGCAACAGTGGCACTGGAGGCAGGGGTGGTGCGGGGGCAGATGAGGCCGGGATTGTTGCGGTAGAGACCAATCCAACTGGCTGCAGTCACCACTTCAGCTCCTGTGTTCTTATCCCCACTAGAGTCCTTGCTCTGCTGTAGCAGGCTCTCGCACGTGTTCTGAGCTGAGAGCATGCCGTACTGCAAGCAGCGAGGGACGGTGAAGGCGAAGGTAGCGTTGCGCTTGATGCAGAGAGAGCGGCCCGCCTTGATGGGCTCAAAGCAGTCCAGGCCGGGATTGAGAGAGGCAAGGTAAGTCGATGCGAGTCCCAGCTGGACGGTGATAGAGGAGCAGGCATCACCCTGGAGGATAAATTGGGGGAGGGAGGAGACAAGATGACTTAGTGCAGATGATACACGTTAACAATGGGTCGTCTCCAGCTACAGATGACAGATAAAACTTCCTTTAAGAAGTTGGGAAGAGTGGGAATTGGATAGAGGAAGGGTTTTTCCTTCAAGCAAGAGTAATATATTCCGCTTCCTTGGTCCAGGCTCACTTTGAGGGCATAGAAGAATGCAGTGCAGGGGGTGACGCTTCCCACCGCAATCACCTTGCGCGCAGGCAAAGGCTGGCTGCAGTCAATGCCCTGCATGTGAAAGAACATGCAAAACTGATTAGAGATAGAGTGTGGTGGTGGATACATCAGAAGAAGGGCCTCAACATTTGGAGACCACCCGCCCTACAAGCCTATTGTAAATGTGTAGCGTTGCCACCACTCAACTTGTCGTTTCAATGCAAGTGCGCCCATGACTTGCCCCTCTCACCATGTTTTGCGATGCAAAGCCAGCCAAGGAGACGCCAGCCGCGGGGAAGACATCTCAGCACAGCCAATTGGCGCCAGTGACTGTCAACCTGGAGGCCGTGGTGTTGGCTGGAGCAAGGAGAGGAGGAAGGAGGCAGGTACAAAAGAGAAGGTGTGAAGAGAATGCAGAAGGTCATAGATCAAGTACTGAGGAGGGTGGATCTAGACGGTTATAAAAAAAGCAATGTAACAGCACCTAGGTTGCAGGTGGGGAGATTGTCAACGGTTATGCTGCCAACGTAGTTAGGAGGACAGATGTAGGAGTAGGCACCCTTGCCGTCATTGATGCATGTGCCCACGGCGCAGGGGTTGCTAGAGTAGGAACCGCACACATCAATTGTTGGATTTGCAGCACGGAGGACATGCGCGGCAGAGGAGGGATTGATGGCGGGGGAAACGAGAGGAGGGAGGGCGGGGAGGGGAGGGACGGGGGGGGGGGGGGGGGGGGGGGGGGGGCGTGGAGGACACCTGCGTTGAGATTTAAAGCATTCAAACGACAACCTGCCAGCATTTGGAAGGGCAGATGAAAAAGCAGACGCCCTGCCTTATGATCCAGGTATGATGAAAGAGGTTTACGTTTACCACCATGCCATGGATGCATTTGAGGATCTCCAAGCGTACCGCAAGGGAAGAGCAGTACGTGTGAAAACGACTCATGATTGGTTCAGAGCGACATGTTTAGCCACAAGAATGACTCACCATATGCACAAGTATTGGAGCCAGGCCCAATTGGAACTGCAACAAAGGGCTGTTTGGTTTTGTTCGGTATGGTGCAATTGCAGGTCTTGCTGTTGGTCTTCGTGTTCGCCTGGCATGTGAAGCGACCGCACGGGTTCATGCTGGGCTGCAAATCCCAATTGCCCTTGTAGCTCTTCTGGCCGCAAGGGTCCTTGGGAACTGGAAAGGTAGCGTGTGTGAAAAATAGGACAAGCATGTAAGTGGGCCGAATTCAAAACTGTGAAGGTGTATTTGCCCGCTGAGCAAATACAGAAAGTATTCATATTGTCGCAAACAGAAACTAGTGGCAACGTAGTGCATGCTTCACTCCTGACAATGGGGTAGATGCCTCACTCTTGACAATGGGGTAGATGCCAGGCAACACGTTGATGCCACACACACCATCCCCTCCCTGAATGTCCATGCGCATGTGGCCCCTGTCTCCCCACTCCAATCCCCACGAGTTGCGGATGATCCAAAACGGTGGAGCAGTTTGGCTCGGGCGGCCGTTATTTGTGAAAAAGAGGTACCCAACAACGAGTACAGCATGGTCCAGGTTGCCAGTGTAGCAGGCAGGATCCTGGTACTTGAAAGTCTGGAGGAGAGAAGGAGATGGTGAGCACAGGGAAGGTAGACACAGATGCGGTCATATGAGACATGCAGTTTCCTATATCGGTTCCATGTGGCCACCAATAGGAGCACCCATGTCAGTTGAAGGTCTTATCGGTTTCAAGAGAGGAGGAATTGAGCCTTAGCCTGAGGCATGACAAGGACTTCCCATTGGCATGCCTACAAGGAAACTTGCAATATGACCACATGATCAGAGTATCAATACTCACCCCGTCGTACTGTACAAACGAGGTAGAAGAGGCTTCAATGTGAACCACCACTGGCTGTCGTCCCACTGCCAGCATGAGCCCTACATGACCCTTAAACCGCGTGCGCTCAAATCCCTGGATGCGGTACTTCGATGGCTGGGGAGCAAACAGCGTAAAATGGGAGATAAATGAATGAGTGGTCCTAACACTGCAACCAGCAAGAGGGCTAGAGATTTGGAAAGGAAAAAGGAAAGAGTTTAAAGGTGACGTGCAAAGCCTGTTAAGAAGCAAAGTTTGCATACACAGCATGCGTACCAACCAAGGGTAGATTCAAATGCAAACTTGCTAACCTCACAGCCAAATGTTTCTGTCCACTTGCTGTGCTACCTGTGTATCTTTTTCTCAAGGGCACTGTCCGCACATCTACCTGCATATACTGCTATGCTGCTGTCTACATTTTGGTATGGTCACTCGATTATGCTTGCACAGGGGTTTTGATTTACATTGGTCTCTCACTCAAAGCTCATTCCTACTGGCTTGCTATCTGTTGTGAGTCCACCAGCGGGCAGGGTGATAAGCCTTTCAAAGGCTGCGGCAGGAGAGCCGCCTGCCATGCACTTTGCAGTGAGGGAGGTGAGCCCCATGGCTGCAAAGAGTGAGTCCTCTGACAGCCGTGGCGCCTCACTGTTCAGCGCAATGCCGTACGCTGCCTCCACACTCGCCACCACCGCATACACCCAACTCGCACCTGAAAGGGAGATGCAACACAGGAGTTCATTGAATAAAAAGGAGTATCACTGATACAGAGAGAGTGCCACCGGGGTAAAAAGTACAACAAAAAACCTGTTCCAATCCATATACCCCAAACCTTCCTCATTCCCACTCACAGCACTCCTTTTGGTTCTTGACCAGCCAGCCGAGGAAGGGCATGGAGTCCCAAGAGTGGGAGCCGCTGACTTGCCATGCACTCTGCTGGTTGGCCAACACTCGGTAGTCCGCACTCATGTAGCGCATGAAGGGACTGGCTCCCACTGGCACATATGACGCCACAGAGAGAGTCAGACCAAAGGCTGGGCAGGAAAAGTGGGTTTGCGGAAAAGGAGGAGAGATGAAAAGACATGTGGGTGCTTGCTCATGTGTCCATGAGTTGTTCTTTTCAAATCGCTGAAAAAAAGGGCAAGGCAGAGAAAGAGAGTGCGCTATGCATTGCAAAAAAAAAACAGCATTGAGTGCTGGAAAAAGAGACCGAATGACACTTATGCAGAGAGGTGACGAAAAGGATAACTGTTTTTCAAGCATGTCTTCCTGAGATCGGGTTGATCACCTTGAATGATGTCTACCAGCTTGCGTGGAGCTGGAAGGCCTGTTGAAAAGAGAAGGACGAGGACATACAGGCATGGCAGCCATAACTCATCAATCTAACTCAAAGCAAACTGAAAAAGGAGCATATCACTAGTTCATCCTCCTCCTCACCATCACCATCAGCATCATTGTAATGATCACCATGAGCATCACCACCACTACCACCATTACATTAGAGCTGCTTTTACCAGTGTGAACTCCTGACTTGAGGATGAGATGCATCTCGAACGGCTTCACAGTGGTGGACGCCACGAAGCCAAAGTAGAACGCCTGCTGCTCCGCTCCAGCCCGCAGCACCGCACACAGCGCCAGCCTCCTCTCCAGCAGTGGCTGAGCTGGCTTCACCTCCGTGGCAGCCAGGAACACTTGGATGGTGCCGGGCTCCCCACGCTCATAGTCCACCCACGCCGTGTATGCCTTTCTGTTGGTCAGCTGAAACGGCGACTTCATAGCGGCTTTTGACTGGTCCTAGCCTTGAATGTTCAGCCCCACGTGTGGGCTGCTCATGTCGCCATGCAGCTTGTCCTGCAGCGTGTCAAACTCAACCGCCATACTGCGGGTGTCTATTCCCACACCAGATCCATTCCCCACCCGGTCTGTTGCCGAGACGAGAAAGGCGAAGTCGTTGTTGCCAGCACGGCGGGATTGAGGGGCGAGGGAGAAGGTGAAGTTTGCCTGGAAGGCGAGCTGCACTCTACACCCCGACACCGCCTATCCCGCCCCGTACACAAACAGAGGCACAGGATCCGCGGTGAATTCCCCCCCCCCCCCCCCCCGTCTCCTTCTGCGTCCCTTTGGTGAGCACACTTGTTGGCGGGACAATAGACAAGCAGAATGAAGTACTATTGGTGCTGCCCGAGGTACTGTTGGTGCTGCCTGAGGTGCTGTTGGTGCTGCCCGAGGTACTGTTGGTGCTGCCTGAGGTACTGTTGGTGCTGCTCGAGGTACTGTTGGTGCTGCCCGAGGTGCTGTTGGTGCTGCCCGAGGTACTGTTGGTGGTGCCTGAGGTGCTGATGGTGCTGCCTGAGGTACTGTTGGTGCTGCCCCAGGTACTGTTGGTGCTACCTGAGGTGCTGTTGGTGCTGCCCGAGGTTCTGTTGGTGCTGCCCGAGGTACTGTTGGTGCTGCCCGAGGTGCTGTTGGTGCTGCCCGAGGTGCTGTTGGTGCTGCCCGAGGTACTGTTGGTGCTGCCTGAGGTAATGTTGGTGCTGTCTGAGGTGCTGTTGGTGTTGCCTGCATACATGCCGGCCATACAAGCATTATTATAATGGATGAGAGGAAATCTGAGAATTCCTAATCATGGCAGATGATGATGAAGTGAGGCGTCTTGAGAGCAATACCAGTGCAGTGATATATCAGACAAAGGGTGTAATGCAGTGACATGGCAGGGCAAACGCATTCGCATCCCTTGCAGAAAGAGTGCCCATGCCATGTTCCACCCCTACTACATCTGCCCCAATTCTGTGTGTGCTGCGACCAGGGAGCTCCCTACCGTCAGCCACGCAGTTGAAAATTCCATATTGGATGTACCCCGCATCGCACAGACAGGTTGGGACCAGGGTGACTTGGTCTGGAACGCACACCCCTCCTCCACCACAAGGAGCAGCAGCAGCAGCTGCAGTGGAGACGCCACAGAATGCATTGCATGCTGCTTCCTGCCGCTGCACCACATTAGTGCAGCCATAAGAAAGTGTGAAGCAGTTGCCATCGAAATTGAGAGCCTGGCATGTCCCGTTGGGTAGAGGACCATAAAGAAAATTGCTGGAGAGGCGCAGGGTGCTGATGGCGGGCAGCGTGATGGGGCTGGCAAGGTAGTTGCTGGAGAGGTTGCTGGGAGAAGGAGAGGAGAGGGGGAGCGAAAGAGAGACCCACGAAGTGAGGAGGATAAGTGTTTGCAAAGTAATTAAGCAGATTATCACCTCGCCAATAGGCAAATTGATCCAAGATGTGTGATCCTGGGGAGTTATTCATGGGCCATCAAATTGAAATCACTGGAGCCCATGGCTTGCAACAAACCAATTATTGTGCCAGAGGCTGACAGTAGTAGCTACGCTGAAGTATTTGGTGCGGAAGTACTGATGAAGAGGCTTACGGTGCAAAGAGTGGTGTGGTGGCTTACAGAAAGGTGAGGTGTGTGAGCTTGGAGAAGCTGACAGGAATGCGGCCGTACAGCTTGTTTGAGGCAAGAACCCTGATGCCCATGTGGTGGTGGAGAGACAGGGCGGAAAAAAAAAAAAATGGCCAGATTGAGAACGCTTGGAGACATGTGAGGCCGGCACATGTTTGCATTTAGGATGAAAGTAAGCACATGGGCTCTTGATGGTGTCAGGAGGAGATTATGGTGGAGCGGCCAGGAGAGAAAGAATCACGTGTATCAAAAGCAGACTCATCAGCATCAGAACGCGCAGAGATGCTTTGCTGGACGAGAAACTGCATTGGCGGAGTGGGTGGCCACTGGAAGTGCCCACCTACATGATATTTCAGCTTCATAATCGACCCAAATCCTTATCAACAATCAGAGCAGTGTAACGCGCAGAGACGCTTTGCTGGATGAACTTCATATTGCAGCTAAGTTGCTGGGCACTACGTACATGACAGATAACTTGGTGAGGGAGCCGATTGAGTCAGGGATGAGTCCATAGAGCTGGTTGCAAGACAGTGATCTGATTGTTGTAAGGATTTGGGTCGACAGTGATCTGATTGTTAGTCCAATAAAGTGGCACGAAAACGTTCATATCTCTTTTCTCCAAATGGTGGTGATGACACAGAGAGAAGTGTGTGGGATTGAGACGAAGGGGGAAGAGGGGATTGAGGACAGGGGCAAGAGGAGGAAAAGTATTTGATGAAGAAAGGAAGTGCTTTACAGGGATGATAGTCATGAGAGGGAGCTTATGGCGGATGGAATAGAGCCAGTGAGCTGATTGTTGTCAAGAACCCTGAGAAGAAAAAAGGGTAATTGGAGTAAATATTTAGTTGAGTCAGGTCAGGCGACAAGTAATCTTTTTTTTTTTTTTTCGGGGATGTACATGGAGGTATAGCCTCTTTGAATGCAACAGCACAAGGAGAGGCAGCAGCCAGTAATCGGACATTTATGCAAATTTAAAAATGGTCCCTCTCACTTTCTCCTCTCTTCTTCCTTTCCACGTTCTTCCATAATGCTCTTTCCTGCCTCCGTAGGCCCTCTAAGGCAAGTTAGCGAGCACACTCGTGCAGCTCCCTCCTTCACAGTTCAAGCTCACGCCTTGATGTGCAATTCAGGCAATTCTAAAATTGCTTGCCCTGAATAGCACTTCCCACCGATTTTCCAAGCTCAGGCCTTGCTGCCCCCTCAGCAACTTTGACACAAAACTCTTGGATTCCTCGCTACATCCACCCCAAAAAAACTGTCACCACATATGCAACTACTCAATATTTGGTGACATTGGTAAAGAAATTATTCATGAGTGGGGTGCAGCCAGGCTGTTGTAGAGTAGAGGCAACATGAGGAGGAACCGACAAAGCAAGTGACGGGCGCCAGAGTTGAGAAGAGATGGTGAAGCAGCAACCCTGTCTGCTTGGTACAAGAATGTAGATGCTACAGATTTGACTAGTAATGCTTGCAGGCCTTGCGGATGCTAGGGAGTTGAAGACAGGGGAGTGTAGGCCCGGTAGTGACATAATCCAGATGCTCAGGCTTGATGGTACTACCAAGTGTGAAGTTTTGATAAAACTAGACAGTACAAGAGTATGCATAGCCCCACAAGGGGCAGTTAGGCTTACAAACTGGTGAGCGCTGTAAGTTTTGTTATCGAGGACGGCAGCGACCCTGACAACATGTTCGAGTAGAGATACCTGTTGACATTGACAGCAAGGGAAGTATGAAAGGGGGGGGAGGGGGAGGTGTACACAAATTTTAGATGAGAGCAAGACACAGAAACTACTATGAGCGCAAAATCCTTAGCCAGCTGTGCTATGAATACACATGAGTCCTTGTGCCCCAGCTGTGGCCCAGGTTTAGGTCTCTAGCCACCAGCCGAAAGGCCAGGCTGACTCGGAGTGTGTGCAAAGTGGGGTGCAAGCAAGACACTTTCTTGAGTGGGAGTGCAATCCTGGCACACATACAGCATAATCCAAAGAAACAAGCTCAGAGAAGGATGCTGCTTTTCAATTGGATTGATACGAAACTGGAGGACACCAGGCAGTGCAAGCTGGAAAGTGGAGAGGGGAGAAAAGAAAGAAGAGGCGGGGCCTTACACGGAGGCCAGAGATGTCAGGCTGCCAATGGTGGCAGGGATAGAGCCGTTAAGTTGATTTCTGTATAGATACATGTGATTGATCCAGGGTGATGTTGGTAAACACAAAACCGGCCCACTTATTGCTATTGGTCACAAAAAATAACGGCCATGGTGTTAGTGATAAAGACCCATTAATTACCACGGCCTCATGAGTTCAAAGTGAGTACAGTAGGCATCGAACTGAATGTAATGGCTGTCAATAGCCTGGCAACTGGTGTGTGTGAGAACAGCTGTGAAATGTTGTTCAGTAAACGACAACGTTGCTAATCATACAAATGACGTGTTCCTCCAATTTACTCTGAAACACACTCTCAAGGAGTTTAGAGGTGTGCGATGACAAGGCTACAATGTGAGTGAGAGCACTGATGAGGTATGTTGCTTGAAGCCGATTGGTCAAAAGGTCTCTATGTAACGAATGGGATGGCAAAAGTGAAAAAAAAAAAAAAAAAAAACCCAACAGTGGTACGAAGCATAGAAGCATGACATGAGGCATGGCACCACATTATACAATGAGTGAGGGGGCGAATGAGGGCACGATAGAAGGGAGACTCTAGTGAGAAGAAAGAAAAGAATGAAGGCGAGGAGTCTTACAGAGCTGTCAGTGACCCCAGGGAGCCCATTTCAGCTAGGATAGAGCTGGTGAGCTGGTTTGTAGATAATGATCTGAGAAAGAAAAGGGCAGAAGAGGCAGAATGCCAAAGGAAGGTTAGAGCCCTCAGAGGTATGAATGCACACATGCACATGGAGGTACCCGAGACAAATACTGATGCATGCACGCGTCACGTGCATACAGGAGAGTAAACTACTGTTGTTGTGTCAGGTGAAAGTGGTGCAAGATAGGAGAAATATTTTAAACTAGGACACAAACAATTCCTGTTTCAAACGCATGGTGGATCACTTCACTTCTGGGATGCACAGACTGCACATTCATGTAGCGCTGAACTAGTACGCATAACACCAAAGTTAGTGAACCACCAAGTGTTGTATCTCACAGGTAGAACAACTTGGTGAGAGCACTCAAGCTAGCAGGAATGCTGTCTGAAAGCTGGTTGTCGGAAAGGTTTTTGAATGAGACCATGGGTGGGTGGGGTTGAAACAGCTGGGAAGAAATGAATGAGAATGAGGACCCTACAAACCACCGGTGAGCAGGAAGGAGTCTCTCTGGAGGAGCAGCCT